ATCGGTATTTGGTGCACAGGATCGATTACTTCCCCCGGTGCACGAACAGTAGTCCACCCACAGTTTATAGTCAACGAGCGCCGATTAATGCACCCCTGTAGAATTCACCAGACTGTCCTGCATACTGCACGACTTAGGTCATCGCGTAAGGGCATAACGTTATCCATTTTTGCGACTGATTTGTTGGACTGTGAATCATGATGGCATCATTTGGAGTACGCAATATACCAACACTGCACGCCACAGGTCTCATTGCACTGACCTTAGACTAACCTTAGGTTTTACTCATGTTATGTATTAGGTCGAGTATGGGTTGCAATAGCTCAGTCTCATTTCCAGTGAAGTCCTTGCACTATAGTAACCTTCGATAATAACTTCAACGGAATCTGCCAACCAATTGACAACTTCCAGTCGCAATGCGTCACGTCATGTCTTATGCCGAAAAAGCACATGCGGTACAGCTCAAACTCCGTCCTACCAACGTCACACGCACAGTCTACAGGAAATTCAAATACATCCGCCATCGATTGTTCACATTGTCTTAGTCTGGAATGTGTCACATTAAAGACAGACCTCCTAAGCCGACCGCATGTTTTTGTGGCGCAAAGCCCTAACGTGCGATGTCGTTCAATGATAGACCAGCGTAGGAGAGCCTTTGGGGCGCCTAAAACTAATGTCAGCAGCCCTTGTGTGTGCGGATTGCATCATCGGAATTGCGTTCACGATTTTGAAGTTGAGGTTAAACCGAATAACAATTTTTAACCAGATTCCGGATAACTATCATACAGAGCAGGCATCGGAAACCCATATGGGTAGGGAAAATTCTTTCCCCTTATTCCCCTATATTTAAGGAGGGAAACCTCCAACCCCTGGGAAATAAGTAGGGTATAGTTACTGAATATTTCCGTAAGTAAAATATTAGGGGCCCATAGAAAAAGTATTTCTTCGAATTCGGCAAACGCACAACAGTGGTTTGTAGGATTGTACTGTAGGCCCTCGTGCCAGAAAAGGTTGCGATGAACACCAACCTGGTACATTCGTTCAATTGTGGTATACTAGTTACTAGTATACCACAATTGAACGCTACTAGTAACTAGTAGCCAGAAATGGCTTTAACCCAAAGCAACGATTGATTGCCTTCGACTATACCTCCAACGAACGGCTCAGTGGCAATCCACGTAACCTCAAATAGCAAGATAAGCCCATTTGGTCCTTCGCGAACATATCCAGTAATTCAGTCCATTGCGAGCTCAAATCGTCGCCGACTGGTATCATCGGCATTCGTTGACGTATCTTTTATCTTGGCCACGTCGAACATTGTTGAACGCTTGTTCTCGGCTGCCAAAATGATCCTAACAGACTACCGCCAACGTTTGTATCCTGTCCATGTGGAGACGCTGCTTTTCCTGCATGTAAACCAGCGATTTTGGGACGCACAGGTTGTTCAACAAGACAAATTTGCAGCGCGAGTTCCAAGTCACCCTTAGGGAAAATAGGGTCCCTAAGTAGGGGGTCGTTGTCAAAGAGGGAAATATAGTGGGGCAGCCAGTATGAATATTTCCATAAGTATGATTTCATTTTGATCATCTTCCCTACTATTCCATAGTATTTTTCCGAAGCCTGATACAGAGTACTAGTACTATGTATTCAACGTCTATTATCTTTATCTCATCATTTGATATCTACTTGCAAGCTTACAGGTGTCGTCGACTTGCTGCTCGAAACAGAAAATATGACTGGCGTATCGATCATCCTGCAGCTTGAACAGGTCACGCCTTGCGCCTCTGGAAACCTCTAACAATTGCAATACAATGGTATGGACTTACGAAACACGGGCGAAACAAAATGCCGGCTATAAGCAGGGAACACGAAACAAACTGTGTCGTAAAGCCAAAATATGCAATTTTCATGTACTTGGATTATGTGTACTTCTGAAAGTATGTCGACATATTTTGGGTTTACGAAACATGCTTATCCCGAAGATAATTGCCAAATTTACAGTGCAGGTCGCCACCACCAGTCGGCGATAGTAATAACAACGAGGCAACTTACAACGCTGGAGCGGTGCTGGATGGTGGAGACAGCTTTCTGCTGTCTTCAGCATCGCCCTAGCGTCGCCATCCCCGCACTCGTCCAAGCCCAGCGCAATAGTGTCAATCCTCAACAATCTCGATCGAACTCACCAATATTGAGTACAAGTAATTACACTACAGTACTACTAGTGTGATGATGTTATGGCTCACAATAATAAGATATCGAGGGTTGTTTCTGAGGCTTGACGTCAATGGGGCAAAGATCACCGACGGAGCACACAAGGGGATGTTCGGGGTGTTCGGGGAGGACAGGCAACTCAGGGGACCCGGGGAAAGCCGGGGTAGCTGGGAAGGACGGGAACACAGGGGGTTGAGCAGTCGACTCAGGGAACCTGGGGAATGCGGGGTGACTTGGGTAGGCTGGGAGACGTGGGGACCCGGGGTAGCCGGGGGTCGCGGGGAAGTCCAGGGTGACTCCGAGGATATGCAAGGAGTATGGAGCGACGCGCCGTGGATAAATCCAGCAACAAGCCACCACACATACACGTAGACAGGTCGTCTGCGTTGCAACATCGCACGGATCTGTGGCCCGAGATCTGTACCGAGGACTTGGCTGGTACTGGTTTGGAGGGCGATGCGGGTTTCGTACACTTGGTCGACAAGCGTGTACGGACTTCAACAGCAGACTTCTTGGGGTGGGTCGTTCAGGGACTGTACTGCGCAGGGTCTAAGCCATACACTGCAAAATGTGAACTGTTATTATGTATGTTATGTAAGATGAAAGTATGTAAAGCTATCCTAAAGCCAATTTCCCCCCGTCGATCTGGTCGAGACTTGCCAGTGCTGTCGTCACGTCTCTAGGGCAAGGCATGGTGGTCGATTGTGGTCCAAAACACTGGTCACCATTGGTCGAAATCCCTTGCATCTGCAGCGGCTACCGAGCAGCTCAGACTTTTGGTGTGGTGTTGACTACAGTGGTGCCCAAACGTATGAACCCGCATATGCAGCGGACATTGCAACATAATCCTGATTTGTAAGAAGTGATCCCAGGGCATGATTGTTGCTGAAAGTGTAGACCCATGACCAGCATCTCGGAACAACCAATGGCATCTCCAGCACCAAGTCCCACCCTTAACACGCAATCGGCAACGCTTCCAACATCCGATCCCACTGTTGAAACGCAACCAAGATACCCAGGGAACCCGGGGTGCCCTGGGTCTCCAGGGAATGTTGGTCTGCTCGGGAATGATGGGCTCATTGAAATGTTGGCCCACAATGTTGGTTTGACAATGGTTTTACCACACTAGTCCCAAATTACCTCCACGTTTCAACTTCGACTCACCTCAAAATTTGACTCATTGGTACAAATTTCTACGAAATTTGTACCAATGAGAAGCTGGGAATTTTGCTTGCTTATATTTATATTACAGGTTTGTTGGATAATGTGCACACTACATTATCATCAAAATAATATTGCTCCTCAGCGCAGAATTAAAATCACTCACCGGACTTGATTAATGTATCGTCAAATGGGTAACAATATGCATATACAGAGGTAACATAAACTCTATAATATGATTATCCTATATGAGTACTCATCGCTTGGGTTCTGCTCGAGTCAGGCAGACATCCATGCCGTAACCATGGCGGCAGTCCTCGTCCTGTGTATCGAAAATGCTCATGTAAGACGTTTGGGCCAATTGGCTCGACCACTTGCTTGTTCACAAGAGGCAGTTCACGCTATGCAATGATTATCAGTCTGATTTAGGACAAATTTAAATAAATCCTCGAAATAAATACGATTTCGTACCGTAGTTCGTAAATCAAAAGTGTCCAGATTTCATAAGTGTCAAGTGGGATTTTCTCATAACTTTATGCGCTTGTAACTCTAGCAAAGAATTACTACCTCTGTCCGAAAGTAGTTGCAACATTTGAGATTGTTGAATTCCGATAATAGTTGCAATAAATATCGCGAGTAATTCACCTGTAACATGTTGAATAGTATTTCAACGATTGCAATTTCGTACGAATTGCTCATTTGACTGTTGTATTCTAAATCTAAAGGAATCACATGTGGGTGCAGATAATATGAAAATACCGGACAAAATGTACGATAATACGGATAAACTGGTTAAAGGTGGAACTTAATTCCGGATAGAATCGTTACATCCAAAGTATATAGGATAAAGTATCAAACTTGGCCGCACTCCGGATAAATACGTTACATCGAGGATATCTTGGATAAGGTAATAAACTTGGATTCTTGATTCACTCTTTCGATTCCGGGTACTCTAGGACGGTATTAGTTTATTCGTATTCACCTTGAACTTCTCTATCAAAGCATACCTCTAGTTTTCGCTATTTCGATAATCTTGAATCTCATTATTAAATTATTCTGAATGTTGCAACTACTTCTGGACAGAGGTAGTAAGAAAGAGAGTTATTATCACACCAAAATCCCAGAAGGAATAATACCTGCAATTTTCTACGAAATCATTTTTTAGAGGCAACTGTCAACCATTCACTGTACTCCGTCCAATTACTTCACTACATCGATTTCACAACTATCACATAGCCGCCCAATTCGATTCAATACAACGTTGATGTGGGCATCGTTGGTGTCTTGGAACTGTGAGATTTCGGGATGTAGCGCACTGCTAATATTTATACTTGTAAATTTGAATATCCTTTCAAAAAAAATCTTCAAGTGCGAAATTCGTAGATTTTCCAACATCTTGATATTTCTAAGGAGCTTAATATAATCGATGGCTCAAGTTCAACGTGATACAACTGTCCTGTCAAACTTTGTATCAATTGCCAAAAGCACCCTCATAGGCACGTACTGCCAATACACTCCCACTGCTAACCGCAAAGAGACAAACCTGGAATGGCAATGGCTTACCCAGGCTGCTGCACACACCACAGGACCACACCACTTTGTGGTCATGGGAGGAGATTTCAACACATATGGCACCAATCCCCTTGACCGCGCTGCTCCAACACCCCGGCCCAGCTCCAACACTGACATGGGCACTGTTTTCCAGCACAGGCGGAACGCATTGGGCTAAGATTCTCCTTCCGCTACCGACACCCCAGCCTCCAACGACATACCTACACTCGCAACAACAGTGATGTAGCCCTGGACGACATCTACATCACATCACGCACCGCCCACAAATTGGGGACCAGTGGCATCTGGCTCAACACTTTACACTCCAGTGATCATGCGGGCACCCCCTTTATGACCCTCGTCCTCTGCCCTGGCGACCACACGCCCACAGGACACCACCCACGCTTGGGAGTGTTGGCTCCGGCAGGGCATAGCACGATGGTCCAACGTATACCGCAAACGGAGGGACTGGCGTACCACTTGCATCCGCCAAACGCATGTACAACAACGCACTGCCTGGTTTCAAGGCCGACAAACACAGAAATTTCTTCGCTCGGCGCACGGGGCCCCTACACCGCCCATCTCCATCCAAAGTGCCATAGTGCGTACAGTTGATGGCCCCCCACAGTACAGCTCCGACCGAGGTGGCAACAGGTCTCAGACACCTGCTCGATAACTGGATCCCCCCCGCCGAGAAATCTACACGCCCCAGACATCTCGACTCCGGACTAGCAGCTGACCGCCAGCTTGTACCAAATTTTGTCCGGGAATGGTTCCTCCATGATATGGAATGGCCTGATGCCGTAGCACATGGGACACCTATCACTACGATGCAGCAATGCAAGCCCGATATGACCGCAGTCTACGTGCGCGAATTTTCCCCGGTCATGGAGGTGTCGCACAGGAACTCTGGATTGCTGCCCCAGCATGCATCCGGGCAAGGGAACATACCATCATCGACCTCATCCGACTTACAGGCCTGGTTCCACCGATTCTCGGACGCAAACAGATGATCTACCTCGCGAAATCAGCCACCGCACACGGCGTGGTGAACCTGGACCCTGGCCTGCCTCCATCGCGTCCCATCACTGTCCAAAGTGCCTTCAGCAGCCACGTCTTCACCGTTATACGGGATTACATCTCTCCCTGCATACTCAACGAAGAGATGCAACATGGCTTCCAGCGTGACCGCACTCTGCAGGACGCAGTTGTGTTCATCTCTCTACTCATCCAACGCGCCGAACGCCGGCAGGAAGAGCTATTTCTCATCTCCAAGGACTGCTTAAAATGTTTCGATCGCATCCCTAGATGGGGCATGGAGTATATCTACCGTAAACTCGGTGTCCTTTCCCTACCCCACCAGCTCATGGCCCACTTTCTTGGGGCCAGCCAAATTGATATCCGCACAGCCTTCGGATGGCTTGACGGCGGCATACGTGAATTCGGACTCGGCCAGGGTTCAATTCTAGCAGATGTCCTCATACGCGAACAACAGGGTGGCACCGACCCTGTACACATCACACACAGTCAACACCCACACGGCACCCAAACACGCACCATCTCCAGTCTACTCTTCGTCGACGACGCCCTCGATGTCCCCACCTCATATCTGGCATCCAAGACCGTACCACCGTACCCAAACAATTCACAGGCCAAACCGCATCGGGCGGAGTCTTCGGTGCAGACAAATCCTTCCTCCTCTACCTTTCCCCCCAGGCTCACCCAGGTATAGCCCTCAATGATGGGCTCGGACAACCCCAACCCATCCAGGTCGTTGCACCCACCGAGGGCTTCCGACACCTGGGTATTCACCAAGGCACCCACAACCAATGTAGTTTTAAGCAATGATTTATCGTGACACTGTTTGTTAACAATACGCACAACGCATTCGAATTGCCAATCAAAGTTAAAAACGTCGGAACAGAAACGGGCTATGCGCAACGGAGTACCACACTCAACATATGAAAACCTCTTAAATCTAAATCGTGAACGCCAAATCTCTAATTTTCTATAATTCTTACCGTACAATTGCATAAATCTACGTGTGACTCTCCCATTCCCGTCCATCACTGGTAGCGAAGGGCCTTAGGAACAATAGATGGAACTGGACCTCTGACGAAGCCATTGAACTTCTCTTTTGAGTTATCTACATAGTGAGGTATACTGGAGGACACCGCGACGTCAAAACTGATTACAGGGCATCGGCGCCTCGCATGTTGTTCATATCCAATCAACCTGAAGTATGGAATTGTGACCTCTCCACTGGAATGCCAAGCCCTCACTCTAGCACTCCAATGTGCAAAACCACTTTTATGTTTGACTGACTATCGTAGTTCGAAACCATCAAGTTTGCATTCCCATTCCGGTTGCCATACACTCAGGAACGGGAATGGGAGCGCGAATAACATGAGTTGCGAAATCTCTGTATTAGTCGTAAAGTACGGTAGTAAAGGTGAGGTGATTTCATTTCGCTGTCCGCCACATTACAATATTGACAGTGAGTCCAATCTCGACATTTCAGCCAACGGGGTTTATGCGTATAAATCCTACAATCCCAAATTTGATTTATTTTCATTTCTATATGTTCGTAAACTTTGACCAACTTCAAACTCGTTACCAGGGGATTATGTTCGTAACTACTACTAGTACAGTAGTAGTTCTTTATTTGATTATGTTCGTAACTACTACTAGTACAGTAGTAGTTCTTTATTTGTAGAAATATTAATAACATTGTGCGTTCCAATCGCTCGTCCAAAATGGCAGCACCATCATCCACATCGACATTCAGATCGAAATACTATCGCAAGTACTAATTAACAAAACGACATTGACATGCTACACTGGTTTACTCCAATTTCATCGATCTATTTAAATTATCCCCACCTCTACCGATTACAACTCCACGACTAGACCATCGTGCATTGACGAGATGGGGTCTACAGCGCCATATGGTTCACCCATCAGTTCAAAATGAACGAGCTCCTCCAAGTCGGCTTCAGTGAGAAGGTCTTCGATTGAATCGTCAATCAGTAGCAACGAAGAGGGTTCGATGCTAGCTAATTTGATGGAATGTGAGCTGTCCTTGCGGGATCGCTTCCTTGTGATGCACAGGCTCAAGAGGGGATCGTCCCTCGTGAAGTGGGTGTTGGAGAACGTGCACACGTGCACGAGGCTCTTGGTCCACTTCTTGAAGTGGAAGTAGTTGAGCTGGCGCTGGAAACTCGAGTACTTGTTGTGCTTGAAGTAGTGCGGCAGGACGGCGGACGTCAGCGCTTCCATGTCGACGACCTCGAACGCCAGGCCATCGGGTGTCCATCGAATGATGTCATCGCTTTCAAAGGTCAAGATCGTCCGCAGAGTCCGCAGGAAGGGAGCGACTTCACGGGCGTCGTCGTCGTCGTGGAACGTGTGATTGGATGAGCTTGGAGATTGGTGAGAGGATGTGCAATACATGATTCGTTTCAGAAAGTGAAGTGTTGAAATAATGATAATTTGCGTGAAGATGATCAGCCACTGGGTAGTGCGCCAGAGGTGTGGTAACTGGAAATCAGACCAGAAGTGTTCTATTCGAGGAATATTTAGTACTTCTTTGGATTTCGAAGGAGGAATGTGGTCGACAAAGTTCCAGTTTGAAGTTGAACAGTGCATTATGATTTTAAATAATGCTCGTATGTACCCAAGCTCTAAAGTTCACTATCGCTAACCACTGAAATACACATAGCCCCTAGCTGGAATGTGTTGTTATGGCTTACACTGCAATTGACTAAGGCATAACGTTAGGGATATGACTAAGCAAGAAACGATAGCTCTGAGGGAATTACTCGGAAATGAAGTGAATCGAGCATTGCCGGCAATTGAAAATATAGTATTTACGCCATCACAGTGAACGAGGGTATTTAAGCTGTAAGCAAATGATGCATGTAGGAGTGTAGGAGACACTGCCGCCAAAGGTGTCGCGAGCATGGCCAAGATTCTTGTGACCATATCATTGACCACTTCCACCCGCCTTGACCCCGTCGCTTCATGTGTCCAGGTTAGTAAAACTCTCCTCCCACCCAAACAATAGTACGGTCCGAAAACTGAGCTCCAACATTCATGCACCTGTGCTTTGAAGTGCGAATGATATGGAGCTGTAGATCGGACATTTGCAGAACGAGTTGGACGCGCGGTAATCTCCGCGTCAGATCTACAGCTTCAGATCATTCGCAATTCTAGTATCCAACTCTACGTCCCTAATGCAGCCGTGTTACCATCAACGACTGCATGTATCTCCTGGGACGGATGGCCACCGCAGATTTTTGAGTATCAGAAGTAATTTCATCCAATGATACTCAAGATTCGAAATACTCTTCTCTTATTGGTGGAATTTATATTCTTCGCGCCAGCGGGAATAACTTGGGTTTCAAAAAAATACGTGCACATCGAAATATGAGGTATGTCTTTGGCACCACCGTGCGACAATCTCGAGTCTTCTACGGCGATGATCGGCCTTCAAACGCATGTGCTGCAGCATCTTCGTTTGGTCGAAGGCATCGAGGGTACATGGATTAGGGTTAAATAAATATTCTGCATGTGGGAGGAAGGTAAGTGGGAAAGGTGTTTTCACGCGTGCTTTTTGGGGGTTTTACTCGTGTTATGAAAAGTGGGGGAATCACGCCTGTTTTCTCAATAACAACTTTACGGAATCGGGGGACTTGCGCGTGTAAATATTTTGACATGCATAAGCTATTTTACTTAACAATTTTGACAGCTAATACAATCCTGCGTCTGTCGGCGATCATCGCCGCCATCTAATCGCTCTATCTCGGACAATACTGGTCTAAATTCACTCGTTCTTCGCCTGGCCCCACCGCTGAGTGATGTACTCAGAGGTGGGACCAGTACCATACATGCATTCGTGGCCTCGTCATCCCTCGGACGCGCTACATCATCGCCGCCATCAAAATCGCTTTATCTCGGCCAATACTGGTCTAAATTCACTCGTTCTTCGCCTGGCCCCACCGCTGAGTGATGTACTCAGAGGTGGGACCAGTACCATACATGCATTCGTGGCCTCGTCATCCCTCGGACGCGCTACATCATCGCCGCCATCAAAATCGCTTTATCTCGGCCAATACTGGTCTAAATTCACTCGTTCTTCGCCTGGCCCCACCGCTGAGTGATGTACTCAGAGGTGGGACCAGTACCATACATGCATTCGTGGCCTTGTTATGTCTCGGACGCGCTACATCATCGCCGCCATCAAAATCGCTCTATCTCGGCCAATACTGGTCTAAATTCACTCGTTCTTCGCCTGGCCCTACCGCTGAGTGATGTACTCAGGGGTGGGGCCAGTACATGCATTCGTCGCCTCCTCATCTCTCGGACGCGCTACATGATAGGCGTCAATTATCCGAACAGCCATGACCACCTCTATCTCGGCCAATACTGGTCCAAATTCACTCATTCGTCGCCTGGCCCCATCCCTGAGTACATCACTCAGCGGTGGGGCCAGTACATGCATTCGTCGCATCCTCATCTCTCGGACGCGCTACATGATAGGCTTCAATTATCCGAACAGCCATGACCACCTCTATCTCGACCAATACTGGTTTCGGGGTTTCCCCACCCCTGAGTGATGTACTGAC